CCATAACATAAAAGCTACCATTTTAACCACTTTTAAGTGTTGTACATGGACTTTCGGTCATAAGGCCTCTATCTCTCGCCAGATGGTAAACAAGCCCAGACACTCCAAACAATAATGAGGCCTATTTATTTGACAAACTGAATTTGCAAGCAATTTGCATCTCTGCTTTCTGGAATCACAACTGCTGTTTTCACAGATCCCAAGAGGAATTAAAACTGTGTCTAATTTCCTGTTTTAGTTACAATTTCTCTAATGTTCTTTGAGCAATTTGAATACCATCAGCCCACAAACACAGCTCTCTAATTCAGGTCGGAGAGCTGCAGGCCAATTCTCTGAAACCACTGCAGGTAAATGAGGATTCGGGGAAATGAATAAAACAGCAACACCATCCTTGTTGGGAAAGATCACAGCGTAAGATGGGTTAAAGGACTGATAACCACTGAGTTACAGGTTCAAATCCATTGCTAGGGCGTGAGTAGAACTGCTCGTGTGTCTGTCTGTCCCTTCCTGATGTTTGCTGAGCTATAGGGCTGGGTCTCCAACTCCATCTGGGTTTCCTTCTTGGCCTTCTCAGCTCAGAGGCTGAAAGATCCACGAGAGTTGCTGTAGAGACCTCAAGAAATGATGCTCCTCCCTTTCTTGTCTCACGAATAAAGTCCTTTGGAGAAGGCAAGAGGGAGAACAGGAACCCGAGCCTTCCTTGTTCAGAGATACTGCATCAACCCTATAATACTCAGAGAAGCCCAAATTTTTGGAAGAAACCAATGCTATCATTTTGTAAATAACCTCTACCATATGGTGATACACAAGTGTATAATGTTTCTCTGTTTATGAATGTTTTCACATAATAATGCCTTCATAACTGCCCAGGTGTATTCGTTTTCTGTGGCTGCTGTTACAAATTACCACAAACCTGGTGGCTTAAAACAACAGAAATGTATACTCTCCTAGTTCTGGAAGCCATAATCCAAAATCAGTATCCCTGGGCCAAAATCAAGGTGTCCGCAGCGCCACACTCCCTTCAGAGGCTCTAGGGGAGAGTCCATCCCTTGCCTCTTCCAGCTTCCGGTGGCTGCAGCATTCCTGGGGTTGTGGCTGCATCGCTCCGATCTTCAGATCTCTCTGCGGAGATCTGGCCTTCTCCATATGCATGTAACCTCCCTCTGCCTGCCTCTCATAAGGACACTTGGGATGGCATTTAGGACCCATCCTGATAATCTGAACATCTCAAGATCCTTCACTTAATCACATTTGCAAAGCCCTTTTTCCAAATAAGGTAACATTTCCAGGTTTCAGGATTAGGGCCCGCTGTCTGGGGGCCATTACCAGCCTACTATACTAGATAAGGCAGGTATAACGATCCCCATTTAGCCGAGGAGGAATCTAAAGCCCAAGTGAAGTGAGGGACTTGCCTGAGGTGAAATACAAGACGATATTCTGCCATATACACCCATCGCCACAAGAACAAAACTCTTCTGGACCGGTGGATAAATAACATTGTGTAGCCTGGGAGTGGGACCACACAGACACAAGAGTGGGAGTGGCAGCAGCAAAGTGAGTGGCACTGCTGGTGATGTTATCAGTGGGGCCAAGGCAGACTCCCTTGGTCAGGCCACATGGCAAGTGCTGGCACCCAGGAGTGGCCCCAGCTGTGACCTACCCAGCTCGCTGCAGCCAAGTACTGGGTCCTGGGTCCTAAGGATTATGACTTAATGGGGAAGGCGCTGCAAGAGCAGGATAAATTTCTGAGGTCAAATCGTGACACTCAGGGGCATCATCTAGTGAGTGACAACCACACCAAACACAAGATCACACCAACCATTTCCAAAGACTGAAAAATTATTGGGAAATTATTGGTATAATTTAAGGGATGATTTGTGCCACAACCTATACCACTTGGAAGGCAGTTTTATGACACACTCTATACAATTTACTTTACATAGAGAGTAATATTTTTAAAGTTTTGACTCATATACAAATTTCGATTACTGAAGCAGATGCTACAGGTTTTTTAGACTAATGTCACCCCTCACCCTAAGTGACAGAGCTCTAGGCAGGGGTACTTGGACTCCAGGCTCCAGAAGGGGAAACACCTGCTGACGGTATTTCTCCAAATGTATTCGACGTTTTCTCTGCCTCTGTCGGCTACATTCAGGTGGCTGAATGTTCCCTCCGAGGTCTTTTAGTTCCTTGCCTGTTCCCATCATTTTGGAATCCACTATACTGCAAGGTCCTGTCCTCACCTCTCAGGAGAAGGTAACCACAAGGCAAAGAGCCATTGTTGACCACTGTTGACTGCAGAACGGCACAAGCAGGGTAGCAGTGCCTCAGGGAGGCTGGCTGGGAGCTCGGGCCCTGGACCAACAGACCCGGCTTAGAGCACTGCTCTGCCACAACCTCGCTTTGTGATGATGGCAGTGAATTAACTTGTCTGAGCCTCAGTTTCTCCCTTTGTACAACGGTGATAAGAGGGCCTACCTCAAAGAGTTCCCCATAGGTAAAATGAGAAAACACACGTAAAATGCACCAAAATGCTCTCAGTGGTTATTTCTGAGTTGTATAAGTTTTACTGTCATCTTTGAACTTTTCTATATTCCTTAATTTATGTACAATGAGCACATATTTTTTAAAAAAAGTAAAGCTGTTTTAAGAAAAAAATAAAGGGAAGTAAGTGCCATGCAGGGTGCAAACCTTGCCCATTACAGCCTCTGGATGAAGCTACGAGCAACTCAGGAAATGGCTTGACCCACTGACCTTTTCTTCTTAGTAATAATAGCTGCTTTTCCTAAGCCCAGCACGTTACAGAGATGGGTTCATCTTTCTGCTACAACACTGTAAGGCAGGTATCATCGATACTCCCATTTTACAGAAGAGTTAATCAAGGCACAGAAAAGTGAGGGAATTTGTCCAAGGCCACACAGGCAGGATTTGAATCCAGTCTGGAGGTATCCGGACCTGCACTCTGAACCACTACCTTCCCCTGGGTGCCCTCAACATCATCCCTTCACTGCCACCTGCAGGAAGGGCTTAGGGAGCCCACTCTTGGCTGCTATCTTCTGGCAATAATTTACTACTGGTATAAACCAACCAGGCACCTCCTGGCCCGACAGCTAAAGAGGCTACAACTTGGATACATTGCAGAAGGTTCCCCTCTGAAGATGGAGAAAGAGTGAGCTTGGCTGGGGTGCAATCTCCTGAGGGAAGAGTCCCCAGGTGATCTGTCCCATTCACCAAGGGCTGCGCTGGCTCCTCTGGGTGCTGCTGGTGAATGGTGACGGCCCAAAGGAGCAGGACAAGCCCCGGACTCAGAGTCAGGGACCCAGTTTCCACCTCCGACTCTGCCACTAATCAGTCACATGGCCTGAGGAATGCCATCCCTTCTCGGGATCTGTGAAACAAGAGAAGTTCTAGGCCTCACATTCTCTGAGCGTCTCAACTTCTCAAATAAAAAGCTCACTGTTAAAATGGCATCCAGGAGCATTAAAAATAAATTCCCATTTTCTGTGGCAAAGGCTTGAGTTCTATCTCATTACTCCACAGGCCCCCTAACTCTGGTATTTTTATTCCCCTCAAAATAACCTTTTCAAAAGGCACCTGCAAACCACTGCACTGGCCTTTCTGTGGAGAGGACGCTTTAACGCTCTGCAGGGAGTCCCCACCAGCGTGCATTACAGCAGATTTTAGACAGGCCCTGGGAAGACCAAATGCCACAGGAAAGCCATAGAGCAGGTGTCTAATCAAGGACACCAGACGTCCGGGGACTCCAAGCTGCACAGAGACCCTTGGCCAGGGGAGGCTCTGTGACTCACCAGGCCACTCTCCGTAACTGTTTGATTATCACAAGGAGACTTTCATGGGTTCACTTGGAAACTCTGGCTAAGAACCAAGAAGAAAAAAGCTGACTTTTTATAACACATAATTTGTGTAAAATAACTCAGGTCTAAATCTATCTGAGCAAGGGGTGCTGTAATAAATTACCACAAACTTGGTGGCTTAAGATGACAGAACTTTATTCTCTATTTCAGACATGTTCTGGAATCTCCCCAATAGAATAGTGGAAACATATTCTTTTCAGGTTGAGGGGAACAGGAAGGGGTGGAATTTCAGAAGCAGATATACCTCTATGGGAAATGGAAACAGGTAAGGAAGCAAAGTCAGGATTCTTGAAAGGAAAGGAACTTTGGGGATCATCTAAGCCAGGAATAGTAAACAGTTTCCATTTCTGGCATCAACTCCAACTGACTGATAGGTAAGCAGTTTGTTGGGATGCTTGTGTTGAGAAGGACTCTGAGACTGTGTTTCTGAGCCCAACTTGGAAGGACTGCTGTATCAGTTTCCTAGGTTTGTGGTCACAAATTACCAGAAATGTGGTGGCTTAAAACAATAGAAATTTAATCTCTCACAGTTCTGCAGTCCAGAAGCCTGAAATCAAGGTGCTAGCAGGGCCTGCTCCCTCCGAAGGCTCTAGGGGAGAATCTCTCTTTGCATCTTTCAGCTCCTTGTGGCTCCTGGCATTCTTTGGCTTACGGCAGTATCACTCCAATCTCCGCCTTTGTCTTCACACGGCTTCTTCCCTTTGTGTCCCTGTGTGTAAATCTCCCTCTCCTTTCTCTTATAAAGACACCAGTCATTGGATTTAGGACTCCTCCTAAATCCAGGATGATATCGTTTCGAGACCCTTAACTAATTAAATCCACAAAGACCCTATTTCCAAATAAGGTCACATTCTGAGGTTCTAGGTGGACCTGAATTTTGGGAGCACACTCAAACCAACCCAGTACAAGTGCCATGATGGTTTAGCAAGGCTGACACGGGTTCAGGACTAGGCAGGGGTAGTATTCACGTTTCCTATCTGCCATCCCGATCTAGCCCAAGCCCATGGCTTTACAGATGATGGAACTGAGGTCCAGAGAATAAAAGAGTCTTGACCAGTGTCATATAGCTAGGTAATACCACAGGAGACAAGAATAAAGAAAGAAGAGGATATAGAGGTGGGGTAGGAGGCAGGCAGAAGTGGGGGTGGGGCAGGGTGGAAGGGGATGAGGAGGAAATTACTGTTTTAGTTGTGGGATAACTGAGAAGGGCATCTTTGCATACGAAACCACTGTCCAACGAGGGTCTAGATGAGGCAAAAAAATGATAACTAGCCATTAGAGAGAAAATTTAGGAGTCTTGGAACAATTAGTACCATTCTGAGGATGAGTTTGCAGGGGATTGTTTGTCTTTTTTCAGCCAAACAAATGAGAGCTCCTCTCACTGGGCAAAAGCCTTTCTAGACTGGTCCCTGAAAGCATCGTGCGTACAGATGCCTGCTGGTTGCCATGGTGAATGATGCTGATCTGAAGAAATGAATAATGTGAGCGTTGGGGGCGACAGTGGGATTACTCAGACAGTGGCGAGAGAGACATCAAGGAGAGACCAGAGCAGAGGAGGGGAGAAGGCACCATTCTTACAGCTGTGGTCCACTCTGCCTCTGAGAGCTGCGCTCTAACCGGATCCACCACAAGCATCAGGTAAGGGACATAAATGGCTCTTCTTGGAAATGGAAATGGCTTTTCCTTTCACACTCTGCTTGGAGGAGGGCCAGGCAATGGTAATATGAATAGCTAAAGACAGGGGAAATTTAGAAACAGAAGCAGAGGAAGAAAAATAAATAAGGGAGACTGAGTTGGTTCTAAAAGCTGAGGATGCTGCTAGCGTCTTAACAGAAAGCTCTGAAAAATGTCTGCTATAGGGAACTCAGTGTGCAAAGACAGCCAGTGGCAGATGTGAGGCAAATAGGAGAAACGATTCATGACAAGAAATGGGATTCCTGATCACTCCTGATGGAAGGGTTTTATAAAGGCCATTGCTTCTGTATCATAAGTAAATGAATGAAGATCTTTTTTCATTGTGGTCGGAAGTGTATTTATAGGGACGTGCAGGGTGTTGGGTGGAGTGGATGGAGAGTAGGAGAAGGAGCACGAACACTCAGTCTCCTTTGCAGTGACCTTCCCTGGAGGGATCTGAGCACATCTGTCTCATCCCTTTCATTACCCATTTTTCTGGGCAGAAATTTCCAGCCAAATAGAAAGGAACCATTCCCCTTCCTGAGCATTTAAGTTCACTATCATCCTTAGAGAAGAAAAACAAGGATTGGAAAATCACTCAGGGCTGTGCGTCTTTCTGCAGCTCTGCTACTCTAGGAATACGGGCACAAAAACAGGAGGTTGGAGGGAGGCGGGGAGGAGAGAGAGCAGCTTGTAACAGAAATCAGTTTGGTGTAATATCCAATTCAGGTTCAAGTCGGATCGACTGTTTCTTTTTCTTTTTTTTTTTTTTTACTATGTCATTGCAATCTAAAATGAAACCTTCTGTATTTCATGTGAGAGAGGAGGGGCAGAGGACAGAGCTGGATGAGACCTGTACGTGAACAGACACAGGTTGAATATGGCTGTCCCCAATTTTAGATCAGGGGAAAATCAGTGCAGGGGAACTGTATCTCTCAAATAGAATTAAAGAGAAACTACAAAGCTTGAAGATGGCGCTCTCTTACCAAAGCAAGAGGGTTGGCAATCTGAAAAGGGCTCATTTGGTTTGTCTGGAAAAGCAGCAGCTGGGTCTTAGTACTACCATCTCAATTTGCAGTAACGTTCTATTACTAAACCCAGCAGCCTTGCATTCAGAAATCCAGCAGTTAAGTGGTTTTGAGTCTTATGCTCAGTAGTTGAGTGACCTCAGATTGCTCATCTGTAAAATGGAGATCTAGCTCAGAGGGTATACCGAAGAATAAAGGACATTTATTATTGTACGTCAAGCATCTAGCATGACCTGTGACATAGCAACCGCTCGCTAACTGTTGGAGGTTATCACTATTATTAACTCTCACAGTACCAGTAGTATTAAATAGCAGCACTTATGTGGTATTAGGAGCCGATTATCTTGACCTATGAAAATAATCTCCTGGGTTCCTTTGGCTTTGAACAAACAAACAAAATATGAGCAGAGGCTTTGGGGAGAAATCAGTTACCGATGAGTGACGAAGCAAATTTCCTCTTGCCATGGGCCACAGAACTGGGAGGCTAAAAAAGCAGCGGGCAGAATGTTCTAGATGACTGAGCTCACAGCACTTGGAGCAGAAGCCAGAGGTCCAGAAAAGAAATTTTAGGTGAAACAATTGCCTGACTTGGAGGTCACAGACCTGTGGTAACTGACATGGGGACTCCGAGGTTGCAGTGATTTCTCCTTTTACTGCCATTTTTCTTCTTCTTTTTTAAGGGTTGGGAACAATGTTGTATTTAAAGGATTTGAGCCAGGGCAGGATGAGGCTGGGGGATGTGGGTGCATCTTTTTCAGCCCAAAGGCCCCCAGCTTTGGTATGAGACAGCCCTGTTCTGTTCTGCCATTTCTTAGCTGTGCCTAGCTGAGTAATATCACCTCTTGATCTCCATTTCATTGTAAAATGGGGGCCATATTAATCCTCAGCTTGAATGCTCAATAAATGGTGGTTATGATTATCATAAATAAATACTTAAATAAGGGCGTAAGTCACTCTTCACTTTGATTCTGGTTCCAGAATCAGGATGAACATCGAGGTTGGGAACGTTTCTTATACGGGAGCCATCATTTCCTGGTCGTCCTCGGAGCCCTGCCTGGAGGACTATTACCATATTATGTATAGGCCCAATTGGAACAGCATCTTCTCTGGCTATCTTCGCTACAGCTTCCACCACGAGGAGAAGGTGCCTCGAACAATCAGCTCCGTGGCACTGGAACATCTCGCCCCTTCCACTCTCTACTTCCTGTGCATCAGCTGTAAGAAGGCTGCATTCCCCTACAGGCACTACTGCACCATGTTCCACACCCTGGATAAGAGTCCACTGGCTGCTGGGAGCTCCCTGGTGGATCCCCAAATCTCCCTTTGGGTGTTGATGGCCATTCTGCTGGCCTGCTTCACAGCCGTCTTAGCCTTCATCTGCCTCCAGTTCTGGTGCATCCGTTGCCATGAGCCTCGATGGTCTTACAGAGCTGGTCACATGGAGGAAGCCAATGGGCTGGTGAGATGGCCAGAGGAGGCCCCGGCTCTTGGTCAGAGGGAGGAAGACCTGCAGGGGGTCCCCCTGGTGGAAATGCCACGCAAGAACTCCGGAGCTGGAGCGGAACCAGAAGCTGACGCTGAAGCCGACCAGGATGCCCCGGACGTGGGTGCCTTACAGAGGGAGGGTGGTGATCAACCTGCCCTACTGCCTCATTTTGGGGAGTAAGAGATGGATAGGAGGCAGCCCGCATCATACAGCCTAAAGCCCTCCATGCAGTAGGTCTTCTGTAAAAATTTGTCTATAGACTGCTCATCTGTCTCCCCTCAAATGTCAGTGTTCTTGTGGATCACCTGGGTTGGATGAATGCCCCATGACAAAGCTTCTCAAACTGGAAAACATATACCACCAGGTGCTGAGGGAGAAACATGGCATCTCTCAGGAGTGTCCATTTTGGGGGGGCCCAGTTAGGAATTAAAAACATAATTTTAATATTCAAGCAAACATGAATATATCATGGTGTAGAAAGTAAAATGTGCATGGCTTAAATAAAACAATACTTCAGGGAAATTTCTGAGTTGAAGATGGGTTCTTTGAGTTATGCTCTCAGTCATGTTGGGGGAATTATTTTGGAAAGGTGTGAGAAGCCTTGTTCTAGAGTGTTTTCCAACTTGCAGGCAATCACATACCATCTTGTACCCCATCTTCCTATTTTTTTAAACCATAGACTAACTTCACTATTACTAACAACAGTTTTCTTTAAATTGACTCATTTTTAAAACAAACTTATTTTAAAAGATAGCCTTGTATTTCTCCAAAAATGAAAAACTAGCACCCCCCTGCTAGAAATAGAAGGGAAGAGCCATAAGAAAATAACGAAAACAAAATAATATTAAATTTGACTTCGATACTCTTGCCTACTAAAGACTCTGAGTTTAAGGCCTGCTCTTTTATCTCTGACAAAAAGGGAGATTAGCAAGAGTTGGAGAGATAAAGACACATCAGCACCAGCTTAAGTCTTTCTCCTTGATATAATCACAACATTTGAAAGAGAATTGAAAAGAGGTGTTTTTATTTCGTGAGTCACTCTTATTTAATGCCATGTCTGTGAACTATCTAAAATGCTATCTGTAAGGGTCCCTTGATTTGAGAAAGTTGCCTGAACCAGACTGGCTGTTCTGGAGAAGATACCTGCACTCTCCCAGCATCATCCCAAGACCCTCCACTTAGACCCACCTTAGGCCCAAGTGGTGGGAACTCGTTTTGGTTCATCAGACTTCCAAATCTACGGCTCCTTGACCTAGAGGAGTACTTTGTCTAACAATATTATATTTATCCTGTCAGTTCCTCTTCTAAGTCCATCCGTGCTTACTTTTTGCAAATGGGGTCAAAGGTGGCCACTTTTATTCCATCACAAAGAAAAATGTTGGCTTGTTGTTGTTGTTGTTGACACATTTCACCCTTCAGAGGCATTCTTTAGCCGGCCCATACAAACCCCCAGGGTGAGAAATGAATCTCCTACATATGTCATCGTGTTGGTGAGACTTTGTGAACATTGCTCCCCTGTCCCCATGGTGGTTCCATGGGTGTGGAAATGGAACTTGAGGAGGGCAGAGATGATGTCTGCTTTAATCTCTGATATAAACCCAGCATGTAGAATCTAGCCCAGTGTTTGCCTAGAGCACGTGCTTAATAAATGTCTGTTCAGTGAATGGCAAAGGACTGAAGGTCTAGAACAGGGCACCATTTGGGAGGTTTAGTTAGTGTCAGGATGTGTACATATGAGCAAAGCAGCAAAGAGATGGGAGAAGACCTGTCTCTCTGCTCTAGCTCCAGCCATCTGGGATTTCCTTCAAAGCTCCACCTTCCCAAGTGCTTCCTGTCTGCAAATCCCTTATATTTGTGGAGGACAACATCCCAGAATCACAGGACAATACTGCAATGAATCAACCGAGAAACAGAAGGAGATGGGACGCCAAGACGAGAAGCGCCACACGCCCATTTCCCCGCTCGGCTCAGTGAAGTCCTCCCAGACAGTCCCCACCCAGGATCCAGCCCTGCTAAGTCTGCATTCACTCCCACCCTTGCTAGTTGTGAAAAATAAAGATGAATATCCTCACAGTCGTTTCCGCCTGGGTCTCACTGCTGCCTCTTTCTCTCCACATCTTCTCGCTTTTCTGACTCAGGAAACACTTTGCTATTTGCTTTTGCTCACTAGCTCTCTTAGAAGTAGGACCCGGGCAAGACTACTCACCTTGGAACCATAGAGGTAATAAGGCTGGACGTTGGCGGGTTTATCTCTTTGTGGTTCTTGAGTAAAAGGAATGGCAGTTCGGACAAAACTAGGAAAAGAAAAGAGATGGGGCAGGAGTTAACCGGGTCCTAATGTTATTCTTCACAGGACACAGTATCACAGAAGCCCTTCTTGACCAGGTGCAACCACACTCTTTCTTAGGTGGTTCCCTATAAGGTACTAAACTCTTCTGACATCCTCCCATTCAACTACTGTCTCCTTTCCATAGATGGGAAAACTGTAGTCCGGATTCACAGGCTCGATGCTGGGCTTGTGGCTGCTCAGAAGGACAGTAGGCAAGAAACTGAGGATGGGCTGGGCCTTAAAACGGCCTTCTCCAGGGCTCCGTCCCTCCACCTCATTTGGTTTCTCAAAAGCAGGATTCTGCAAACTCTTTCTGTAAAGGCCCAGATAGCAAATATTTTCAGCTTTGCAAGCCAGATGGTCTCTGTCACAATTACTCAACTCTGCTGGTAGCGTGCAAGCACCCATAAACGATAGTAAATGAATGAGCATGGCTGAGTTCCAACAGAACTATGAATTTCAAATAATTTCCGCTTGTCACCAAATTATAATTCTTTGGATTTTCCCCCAACTATTTAAAACATTAATACCATTCTCAGTGCATGGGCTGTACAAAAACAGTTGGCAACTAGATGTGGCTTGTGGGCTGCAGTTTGTAGAACTCTGCTCAAGAGGATTAAAAGACTCAAATCTTAAGAGAACTCGAAGTCTGTCTTGCAGAGTGTGTGGATTCATGCACATTTGTAGCTTCCTCCTAGACTCTTCCATTCATTCAACACATACTTACTGAACACTGGCCATGAGCCAGGCCCTGAGGATCCTGAGAGGACGTGTAAACACATACATTTTTGCATATCCTTATGTACTTGTTTTGTACGTGACTACGTCTCACCTCTTCCACCAGGTTTTAAATTTTTTTGTGTGTGTGTGAGGAAGATCAGCCCTGAGCTAACATCCATGCTAATCCTCCTCTTTTTGCTAAGGATGACCGGCTCTGAGCTAACATCTATTGCCAATCCTCCTCCTTTTATTTCCCCAAAGCCCCAGTAGATAGTTGTATGTCATAGTTGCACAACCTTCTAGTTGCTGTATGTGGGACGCCACCTCAGCATGGCCGGAGAAGCGGTGCGTCGGTGCGCGCCCGGGATCCAAACCTGGGCCGCCAGTAGCGGAGCGCACGCACTCAACCGCTAAGCCACGGGGCCGGCCCCTCCACCAGGTTTTGAACCTCTGTGGGCATAAGGGATTAAGTGTGGTCTCTACCTTGGTGCCCGGCCCTGGGCTATGTGCACCTTACAGGAGACATGTTCCATTTTGTCATGCATGTGTGTGCTCTGCAAATGTATGCCTATTTGGCACACATGCGTTCACATATGTGGAAGTCCTCACAAAAGTACCATCTGATCACGTTGCCCCTCTTCCTCAAACTCTTCTAAGCTTCATAAACACTTGATCCTAATATTGGCTATGAAGCAGTGCATGATCTAGTTCCTGCTTCCTCCTGTGTCCGGCCTTATCTTTCATGGCACCATTTCCCACCCCAGATCCACCCTCACCAACCTCTCCGTTCCTTAGAAACTTTGCTTGGAATACTCTTCTCCTGCCTTTTGCCTTATTTATTCCTACTCTTCCTTCACATCCCAACTCAAACATTATATCCTCAGAGGAGGAAGCCTCTCTTGAGGGTTGCATCACTGCCCAGACTGGATCAGGCGGTGCTGTTTTCTCTCTCATGGCTGTGGGCTCTCCTCCATCTCCACGTTCACTGTTTACAACAGTACCTTTATTGTGTGATTATTTGATCACCTGCATTCTCCTCTAGCCTGAGGGCTCTAAGAGGCAGGAAGGTGTCTGCTTGTTCACCGTGGCATTCCTGCCTCCAGCACAGAGCGTGCACCCAGGAGGGCTCCATGAGACGCCTGTTGCAGGAGTAAACTGACAACCTGTGCTGGGCCTAGTTTGAAGGCGGCAGCTAGCTGCTCCCCCGCCACACCCCACCCTGCTCCAGCCCCCTTTGCACAGGGACTTCCTTACCGGTTGGTGGACCCATTGTAGCAGTAGTTGGGGAGGAAGTCGAAGTTCAGCTCCCAGAAGACATGCAGGGTAATGCGGCCGTAGGGGGCAGACACGTTGTGATTGGCCTCCCGGAACATGGCGTCGAAGCTGTCCAGGGTCATGTGCTTACACAGCAGCCGGTGTGTGAGCCGGTTGATCTCCAGCAACCACTCCAGCTCCTGCCCGGAGAGAGAACCCGTGGCTGCTGAGGCCGTACACATACACCTTACACGTGTGCACCACTTTGTCTTACAGATTCTTCTCATGTAGGCGAGAGCCCCTCGGACAACCTCCTGACTGCCAACACGGGGACTAGGACCCCCGCAGTGGCATGTGACAATATTCTCTTCTTTTGAGGAGTGGAAGGAACTGCCAGACTATGCTGAGGGAGGCTGCATGCCTGTCCCGGGAAGGGGACCACAGACCATGTGCAAATCCCCTATCTACACCCCCTGGGTGCTTTCCAGTTTGCATGTTGCTGAGGAAAAAGCTTGTCCCTCAATGTCTCCAGTAAAGTAAAAGCGAGTTGTGACTGGCTATCACCAGAGGCCCTACCTCTGCCCTGCAGATGCAATCATAAGAGCCACCACCTACTAAGTGCTTGCTATTAGGTCAGACCACATGAAACGGCTGTTTTTTCAGGTCAAACACCATTGAATATTAGTAATTTCAAATCGTTCAATCTACTATGTACAAAGCAGTATTCTAAACACTTTATACGTATTAACTCATTTAATGCTCAAAAAAAAACCCCCTACAAAGTCAGTATTACGACTGTCTTTATGCATATAGAAACTGACGTTATAAGTTAAGTAACTTGGCTTCAAATCCAGGAAGTTGGGCTCCAAAGCCCACATTTTTAACCACTATATACCACAGAAATTCAAAAAACAGCTGGGTGCAGAACGCCACCTCCTTTGGACTCCTCCTGTGTCCCTCAGTCACACGGGGTTGGTCATACGTGCTGGCAAAGGTGCGGCTGCGAGCCATGGACCAAGGGCCTGTGTGAGCTGTGGCCCTCATCGTTTGGAATCCCATCTT